AAGTAGTGTATTTCAAACACCACAACTGACTTTGATAGAACTCTCGACTATTTAAAATAACAAACTATTATTATTAAAAAAAGTTCAAAATAGAAATAGATTAAAATTGTTTTAATAACCAAAAATAGTCCATCGTAAACCAAGAAAACGAGAATAGATAAATCACAATTCTGTAATAGATTAAAGAGCAAATACTTAAACAAGCTTTAGCACCTAACTTAGGAAGCGTTGCTCACAATCTGATAAACGCTTAAGAGAGTATTTCTGGGCGTCATCTCCTTCGTAGATTAGCAGCTACTTGGCCTAGGCAACGCATTATACAGGCTTTAGTTACTTTTGCCACGTAATGATAAAAAAACAACTTAACTTAGGGTAGGCTCTGAGTTCTTAAGTGACGTAGTGAGCTAATAATGATGGTGATATAAAAACTTATCAAAAATTAGTTAATATACCACAACTACTTCCGATTAAACTGCAATCTAGAATTCATTTTAAAGCTACGTTTATAAATTGTTGAAAGCTTTAATATTTTATTCATCATCATCATCACCAGCTCACTATACGTCCCCACCGAGGGGCTCGGAGCCTACCCTAATATGGTGTGACTAGGCCATAGTCAACCACGCTGGCCAAGTGCGGGTTGGTTGACTTTACACATATCTTTGAATTTCTTCGCCGATATGTGCAGGCATCACGATGTTTTCCTTCACCGTAAGAACATCGGTTAAATTATGAACATATGTAAATTCGAAAAACCGATAATCACATTGGTACAGCGGGATTCGAACCCAAGACCTGTAGATTACAAGTCAAATGTTTAAACCACTGATTCACCGACGCTCCTAATATTTTATTGCTTACAAAATTTTCATAAAAGTAGAGTATGAAACGTATATTGCTGTGAATCATTGCACAGTCGCAAGTATTTTTATACAGACCGATTGTGATTTGCTCCGCCCACGCACTACTGACTGCTTGACAACGTGAGATCAAATACATGCGGTTGCTGGCTTCGCTTATATCCACCTGTCTTCCATATTCTTATCGGTTCTGTGATTTATGTTTACGTTTGTCTGATGATTGAATACAACTCGAATTTCAATTGATATTTGAATGAAAATGATGAATTACGTTCTTATTTGTATACTAGATGTTCCCTTGCGACTTCATCCGCATAAAACTATGAATTATTTTATTTTTTACATGTGTCAAATTATCAATTGCAAATGTCAAAATGACATGACATGATGACAAACCATGGCAACCTTACTTCCTTAATGTTGGCAGCAACTTATGGTCTCTTTCCCACATTAGGGTTTTTATCCAAAATATTTACTCCCTGAATTTAATGGCGTGAAAATATATAGAATAAAGCGTGTAGGATTAAGTGTAGGATTTTTTTTTAAAAAAATATTCAAAAATATGCTGTAATTGCGGACATCTTAGGCAACAAAGAAGTGTGTGTTTACGCTTTATTATAATTGTATAGATTAATATCAGGTGTTTGTTAAACATAATGTAGTGTTATTTAGTTATAGGTTTTTATTGAAAAATCGCTACAAGTTCTTCCAGACTATCCTCTACATATGTACCAATTTCCATCGAAATCTGTTCAGCCGTTATGGCTACAAATTCTAATAAAGATCCATCCATCTAAACTTTTGCATTTATAATATTAGTAAGATTTACACTAGGGAGACCTTAAGTGCAGCAATATTTCACGTATTTTTTTTCAGAAGCTAAATACAGCATTACGAACTAATGTACTATTTTATTTTATATTCTAAAACATCACATTTACAATATAAACTAAAACGTAATGAATATTTAAGAGTCAGTTTCAATGATATACTAAAATTATCTCTTATATCAAGTGTATTAAAATAACAAAAACAAGCATGTTTTCAACGGAAGTGTAATCTGTTGCCAGAATGAATTAGAGGTGAAATATATCTTGTTGCGTCGGTTTAAAGTTTATAATTGCTTGTGATCTTGAATCTTAAGAATGTAAACAATAAAAATACGTTTAATTATTTTCAATTAAATGTTTCAAGAAACAACTTAACTTTAAAAAAAAAGAAGGTTTATGTTCATTTGGTTTGTGTGTAAATTTAAATAACATTTAATTAACTTTTACACAAAAACTTTATACAAATGTAATTATTAAAATACATAATTATTTATACTTTTTGAATTGTAAACGCGTTCTTATACTCTCCTAAAAATATATTCTACGTAGGCTCGTAGCTGGTCTACGAACAGTCCAGAATAGTCCAAATTTGTCACGCTTTACTCTTATTAGTTATAAATTATTGATTGCTGTTGCTAGCGACTTTTTTCGCGTGAAAAATATAGACTATGTTGCTTACAGATAAACTACCTTTCTAACAATGAAAGAATTTTTAAAATCGTAACAGTAGTTTAAGTGATCGAATACATACAAAAATACAAATCTTTCCTCTTTATAACATTAGTGAAGATTACTTTGTAATATTGGTTCTTTAAATTATTTTATGTTATGTGTTTAACTCTATCGTTTACGAATACTGTAAACAGTTGTTACACAATCATACTTACTAATATCATAAATGCGAAAGTTTAGATGGATGGATGTTAGAGTTTGTAGCCTAAACGGCTGCACGGATTTCGATGACATTTGTTGCAGATGTAGTCTGGAAGAACACATATGCTACTCAATTTTATTCTTTTAATTCCACGCGGACGGAGTCGCGGGTGAAAGCTAGTGTCAAATAAATCTTTACAAACATAAACTCGTAGGTATTTTAGGGTTGTCGTTTGAAAGCTATGAAATGAGTCTGTTGCGCCATTTTCTTCTTGCAAAATAAAAATCTACTTGTGACTCTATTTGTGTTATGAAGTCGTTTCAATTTACAATGGAAGTTTTAATGATAATTTATTTCAATATTGATCGTAAATCGTAGAGGTTGCTCTGGAATCGGATTCCGTAAATCATAAAATAGTTAATTCCAGCAATAAACAGTGTTGAGTTAAAAAAAATAAAAATTTATTTTCTCTATGTATAATATCAAATAGGAAAATGTAAATGTACTGTAAAATGACGATAAACCAGTATCTTATTATCGATGATGTCATAGTAATTAATATTTCTTGTTATATTTCATATTAATTATAATTTATTTCTTTATCGCATGTCCACCGTCAGTCAGGAAGACTATTAAATTGTAATCTGCTATAAACCTACATTTTAAATAAATATATTCATCACATCTAACGTCATCTAAATAGATGTGACATTTTTATTGCAAAAACTAACCTAACTAGCTGTTGCTTGCGACTTCTCGCCGTGTAATTAAAAAAATAATAAAAATTATAGCCTATGGTAATCACTCATAACTTAGCTTTGTAATGATGAAAGAATTATCGAAATTGGTCGAGTAATTTTTAACTTATTTCAATATGAATCTTTCCTCCTTCATCATCATCATCACCTCCTTATCCTACTCCCGTAGGTTCGGCGCAACAGGTTTTTGTCATCCACATAACTCTAACTTATGTCATCTCAGTCATCACTCCCTTTTTGATCATGTCACCTTTTACATAATCCATCCATCTCTTTCTAAGTCTACCTCTACCGATGTACCCTTCCACACTCATAACTAACGTTCTCCTTGTAGTAACATGCCCATACCAATCTTTTACTCCTTACCTTGTCTAATAATCTAATACTAATAACCTGAATAGTTATGACTACTAGAGGACTGGCCAAAAATTAACTAAAGTAAAGAAGTAAAATTTAATAGAAGAACATTATTAAGAGAAACCAATTATATGAGAAGCTAAATTTTCTATTATACACACCCCTACAAAACAATTTCTATCTCACTCTGTTCAAGAGTTGAAAAGAGACGACAATAGTTACAAACTGAAAGCGGGACATGTTTTCATGTATAATCACGCATTTCAACATATTTGTTGCGATTTGACAACCCTATGTTCACTGTACAGAGGGTGGCATGTCTTTTCTCCACGGTAATTAGGATTCAGTGACAATGTCGGCCAGGTATCGTACGCGTCGTACTCGAAATAAACACGGATATAATCGAACACACAAATTCATGTTATAATTATCAACATGACACTGTTTTTGTTCGTGGAAATTTTTGTCAACGGAATTTTATTTAAAAATATCTTACAATAATTTATACTGATGTTATGTTTGAAAATAAAAAAATATACGGAATCCTGCACATTTTACTTAATATTTAACTGAGACGCTAGCAACAATGCAATACCACAGTCACACAGAAGACAAGCGTGAAGTGGAAGTAACTCCTCATTTCGTCTGATGACTGTGCTTGTCGGAGGCCTTATTTTAGTCCCCTTTCTCTATTCTTACAAGTAAAGAATAGCAAGGTAAACTAAATTTGACGATAAAGGTAACCTTCGTCGTAGAGTAGACAACGCATCTACAATTTCGATGTCTTATTTGTGCGCTTTTGCTATTCCGGTGAGTTTTAGTTTTGGTATATAATGTCGCGACGCATTATCTTATCAAAGCATGTCTCATATTGCGGACGGAATGGAGACATGTTTGTTTTCATAAGCACTCCGTTCGCTGAATTCTTTAAATGTTATTCACTTTTGAATCGCGAATTCTGATACTGAATATAATGAGATACGTCAGGTATTATCTTAGACAGTTAAATTAATACAACCATGTCTTGGTTTTCAAAAGGTGTTTTTATTGTCTTTATAGTTTTATCTATACTAATATTATAAAGGGGAAAGATTTGTATCTTTGTATTTATTGAAATAACTCAATAACTACTGGGCCGAATTAAAAAAAATCTTACACCATTAAAAAGCTACGTTATCAGCAACATAGGTTATATTTTTGTTATTTTGTAATTTCACGAGGACTAAGTCGCAAGCAACAGCTTGTTTACTATAAAGTAATAAACAGTTATGCTATATCAGATAACTTGAGGATAACGTCCTTAATGATATTTTTTGCACAGAAAATTCGTCTGCGTCTGTCGCGACGAAGCCAAAGAGAAGACCGTACCTTCTGAAACGGAAGGCGCTCACCACTGGCTTCTTCGACCAGAGCAGAGCTAAAGATGGGGACAAAGATAAAGGTATGAAAACAATTTCACCATTAAATTAAAAAAGAGTGTAATTTGTCAATCATCACAATCATCTATTACTAAACTTACTACAGCCTACAACTCGTAGCAAGTAGACATCGTAGCGTTGCTACGAATTAAACCCTTACACAAAACAAATGCAAGTCACATTTTTGTTTACGTCATAGTACAGCGGTGGTCCCACTGGATGAGTCAACTGCTATCGTCTGCCAATACCGCATGCCGAGCCTACGCTCCGTCTCACAGTATGACAAATGACCTTCGAAATATCGCAATAATGACTAAAGTACAACACTTCCGGTAATACTAATTAGACAAAAATATGTAAAAGTGACCAGAATAATTTTACCATCAAGTTACTAATAATATAATGTGAAAGTATCGATGGATGGATGTTTGTTGAAGTTTGTAGCCTAAACTGCTTAGCAATTCTCGATAAAACTTGTCACAGATGTAGAGCATAGCGTGTTTACGCGCGGACGGTCGCGGGCGACTAGTTAATCTAATAAAGTGAAAATTCGTATGTTTGTAAGGAATAAACGTAAAAATATAGTCGTATATTTTTTTTTCACCATTAGAATACTACATTAATCTTTAGACTATATTATTTTTTTTATTAAAAAAATAAAATTATCAATCCGGTATAACCCTACACTGTACAGAAATTATAACAATAACGTAAAAAGATCTCAAACAGTCTGTTATCCCACTTTATAACCAACGTTTAGTAGAGTCTACCTATAAAAGGTTATTGGTTGATACAATCCAGGTATGTGGTTATAAAATTCTTTACGAGACTAACTGTTTGTTCTTAAATCACATTGATGTATTCATTAGCCGATAGAGCGCTAGTTGTTCAGCGCTTTATTGATCTTAAAACGATAAGACATGTTCCGGGAACGATTTTGTAAGATCCCTTTAATCTTATTTATACTATTATAATAAAGCGTAAACACACACTTCTTTGTTCCCTAAGATGTCAGCAATTACAGCTTATTTTTGAATAATTCTTTGCAATAAAAAGCCCTACACTTACGTCACGCTTTAGGCTATACATTTTCATGCCAATAAACTTGGGGGTAAACATTTTGGATGAAAACCCTAATGTGGGAAAGAGACCATAAATTGCTGCCAACATCAAGGAAGCAAGGTTGTCTTCATGTCACGTCATTTTGACATTTGGAATTGATAATTTGACAAATGTAAACAATAAAATAAAATTTTCATAATTTTATGCGGATGAAGCCGCACGGGAACAGCTAGTTTTATCATATTTCCCAGTCGTTCTAAAAAAATCTCTGCTTCTAAATCTTGCTTAAATTGTTACAACATTCTACATGATGTAAGAAAATGTTTCTTTACACGGATACCACAATTTTTCTCACCCGGTCTTCGTATTGTATCAAAGCGGCGCCAATCGTTGATTTATTCGCTATATTTCTTGTGAACGTAAACAAACCGATCTGACACGAACACACAATGTCCGTCCCAAATTGAGATAGACGGCGTGATAGTCCGAAAATAGATCTAGATAGACACTCATTATTGTGTCAAAATAGACTTCTCTAACTTAAAGATGACGCTTTCGCCCGCGACCCTATCCGCGTTGGATTTAAAAAAATCAACTATGCTCTAAATCTATACCAAATTTTATCGAAATCCGTTCAGCCGTTTAGGCTACAAACTCTAACAAACATCCATCTAAACTTTCGCATTTATAATATTAGTATGATATGCTATACTCTATATTAGTTTTATGAGTAATGAAAAACCCAATTTATCATTGTACTGACTAAAGTATTGAGAATGTATGGAAAAATGTATTTGTTCGCACGGTGTAGGCGCACAGTACAGATGTATAAATAGAGCTGTATAGCGAGGCGCTGTATTACGATGTAAACAGATAGGCCAACAACTTTTATTTGTGTTACAAATTGTATTTGAAGATACAGGTGGACTGATCTGCTCTCCTAGACACAGTGACTTCCTGTTAATATCGATAGAATCGTTGAAATACGTCAATAATTTAAAAACAAAACTTTTATTCAATTTAGTATTGTTTCTGCTTCCCCAGTACAACACAACAAGTGCAACGTATTTTTGCTGTTAGCTTTGAATCGGTGCCAAATCTTGAAACATCACGAAAGTGCCACAATATGTTCCCTAAATCACCAAACCTTTAATGTAGGTCATGCTTGGACACATATACCGTCCCTCTCTAACGTATACCTCCACCATCTGTCCTTCTCTCGGAACGCTTTCGAGCAATTAAATGAATAATGGATTTCTTATTGCCTGTTAATGTCCACTCTGAAATGTGAATGATGTACAGTTTTAAATGTTTATGCACAATAAACTTCAGAATTTTAATCTAACGCTCTTTTTATAATAAATTCTTAGAAGCACGCCGTCTGGAAGCGTTTATCGTAATCAGTCTAGCCGGTCTTTTAAACGTAGAAAATCGTTCATTCCTTTTGTACAAATACTAACTTTTCACAGCGATTTCGTCCAAGCGGATTTAAAAAAAACTTTTAAGCAGCCTATGTGTTTTTCCAGACTATATCTACATTTGAAGAAAGTATGGATGGATTGTGTGAAAGAGGATATGCTTAAGAAAGGAGTGGATTCAGATATGACGGCTGATAGAGATGTATGGAGCACATACTGTGCCGACCCTCCGTAAGGGATAAGGGCAAGTGGATGATGATCTACATCTGTGCTAAATTTCAGCGAAATTTGTTAAACCGTTTTGGAGATACATAGTAACAAGCATCCATACATCCATCTAAACATTTGCATTTATAAAATTAGTATAAAATGTATAATTTTACTCCAACCTTCACTAACTTTGACAAGACAATTAGCAATTCACAAAAACTGTAACCACAATAAATAAACAATCTATCGTTTAGTGAATCTTGCCTTTCCATTTTCTCTATTCTAAAGCTTATTGGTAAGCGAAGAAAACTAATTACCAGGGATGTTCATAAAGAAACATGCTCGTTTATCATTTTACATATATAAAAAACAATATAGTTACAGACATAATTTCAATTCAAACACAATATACATCGTGTTGCACAGATTGACCAGTCCATAAAAGCTAACTTTACCACTATCTTGTGTGTAGAGACACCGGGCAGTGTATTCGGTGTGCCGCTGGCGCAGTGCGTCGAGATGGAGCGGGCGTTGAGAAGACAGCACGGCGGTTCCCGCGCCTCCCTCGCCTCGCTCGGCGCCCTCGATAAGGGGGATGATGTAAGTTTTTATAATTATTATGTACAGGCTATATATAAATGTCTATCATATAAATAATTTAAATACCATAACTTGGCAAACAAATAGCGATGCGACCTCTGTCCATAGACGTAATCACAGATGCGTTTCATTTCTTTAATCAACGGAGAAGAGGACGCAAGTAAGAGGATTTCCCCCTTTTGAGTCCTTCAATGTTGATTATAATTACCCTGCCCATGCTTTCCTTAAGAAAAGATTAGGAAAGGGAACTAATTTGACCTCCGGCGCGCACTCATTGGACTTAACGCGGAATTAGTTCCACTTCAGACCTGTCTTCTGTGTGGTCGTGACATTGCAATGGGTAAGCCGATCTATTCAATCGAAATTTTAAATGAATTGTGTATGTAAACGAAAATATGTAACTAGTAAAATGTATTCAAAGGTTATGCAATTTTTGCTTGTCCTATTACCTGAATTTGTTCCGTAGAGTAAATTCAATAAGACATGTAAAATCTCATCGTATTTGTTAACGTACAAACTCCAACGTATAAAATGGACGTAATGTAAATTTATCACAACAGATATCCTCTGAAATACTTTTACATTGTTTATCTTACTGTTCTCGGTAATATTGTGGGGTTTTTCTCGGAAGAAAATCATTGGTTTCTCTTGCTTTTATAAAGAGGAACTATTATTTATATAAATTTTTTATTTATTTACTCAATAACACTTCGAAATTCGTTCATTTTTGTGCAGAAGAAGCATAAAGAGAGAAAATATTTCATGAATAGCTTTCGCCCGCGATGAATTAAAAAAAATAGCCTATGTGTTCTTCCAAACTATTCTCTACGTCTATACCACATGGAAATACGTTCAGCCGTTTAGGCTACAAATTCTAACAAGCATTTGTAACATTAAATAATTACAAATATCAATTACCCTTGTGATAGTCTATAGATAGCCTTATGAAGGTATAAAATCTGGTGATATAGGTTTCTTACTATAATTTGTAAGCATTAAAATCGCTTAGTACTGTTTATGTGTCACGACCTTTACTGGAACTCCGAAATAGTTTGTCCGTTTGCCGCCAAGACACGTAATATCGACATAGATTTACGCACCTGCTCCAAATCACCAAAGAATTATTCCAATATATAACAATAATTTAATAATTATTAATAACATAAAATAAGAAACTTACTGACAGATATCAACAATACTGACTATAGAAAAAAAGAGATTCCGTACATAGAGTTCTGTTATTAATTAAACTAGCGGCCAAATATTAAAACGAATCTCACATTTTCCTTTGTAAGCCGCTTGTAATCTGACAGATGTCAAAATGTTATATTTAAAAGCTAACAAACAAGTTTATTTAACATTCTAGCTGTTGCTCACGACTACGCCCGCGTGAAATTAAATATATATATATATATATATAATGAATAATGTAGCCTATGTTACTCACAGATAAATAACCTTTCTAACAGTGAAAGATTTTTTTAAATCGACCCATTAGTTTTTGAGATATTTCAATACATACAAAGACGGATGACGGAGATCGAATTTAGTTCTGTAAAGTTCCGGCGTTAAACCACAGAGCTATCGCCGCGTAATTAAGACCCGATCAATCGATACGTCACATTAAGTGTTGCAATGTAAACAGAATACAGACAGTACTGTAGACGCCATTATCGTGGGCGAGCGAAGATATGACATGCGCCAATCACAAATGCCACTCTGTAATGACACACCGTGAGGGAAAGATTTACGTTGGACGTTGAAATGTGCATTTGAACAGTCAAACTGTACAGTTAAAACTGACGTATAGACAACGTTTTAACTGTTAATTTCTCAGTTTGTTACGAGTTAACACTGAAGGTGTTGTGGTTTCTAATGCTGACCGCCACTCAAGGTAGATTAAAGCTTACTTAAGTATTTGTAGATTTTAGGAAATAAATCTGAAAACAACATTTAAAGCTAGTTAATCGAATGTAAAAAGTTTTATAAGGATTGTCTCGTGTACTTATACAATATATGATTTAGAAATATCTCAAGATTATTCTCAACATAAATCAAATAATAAAATGAAAAACGCTACTAAGTTTTAATTATCCCACAACTTTTAGAGCACGTAAAAAAATCTTCCGTCATAATCTATGACGTAACGTGACGTTACTCCTACGTCACCGGGTGTCCGGTTACCTGTTCGGCCTTCGAGTTGTATAGTTTCATTAAGGCCACGATAATTTTATCGTATGACGCGACTCGCGCCCATCCGATAACCGAGTCGGACCTAAAATAGACGCGTGGAAGCGTAGACCATGCCCGTGGAAGTTCTTTTGTATACATCGTTAACGTGGGTTTACAATAAACTATGTATTGCCATCGCTGTCATTCTCTTTAAAAAGACAGGGATGGAAACATATTTACATATTCTTCCGTAGTGTGAACTCGTAATACAAGAGCGTTAGCGTTAAACTCGCCGATGTTTCCCAGCTGGAATGACATCGGGAATTTCAAAACCACTTCATAATCTTCAAGCGTAAGATTTACTGATAGTAATAAAATCACTCCGTTTGTGTACACACAAATCATTTTGAAGTGCAATGTGCTAAAAGATTATTCGATTTTCACGTTAAATTATTACAACTGAATACCACATTGATCAAAATAATTGAAAGCAACGTCAATAAACTGATACCTTTATTGTTTTATTATCAATTCTAAATTATGTTGATGTTACACAAAAAGCTAGGTCATAACCTCAAAACAATACTTAGTAAAAAAGTTTATACATCCATATATCTATACTTCTATTATAAAGAGGAAAGATTTGTATTTTTGCATGTATTAAAATAACTCTAAAACTACTGGGCCTACTTTAATACTTTTTTCACCATTAGAAAGGTAATTTATATGTTAGTAACATAGGCTATGTTACTTAAATTCACGCGGACGAAATTGAGAGCAACAGCTAGTATAATAAAACGTCATTAATTCACGTGTCTACGTCACATTCCAGAGTGAATCCTGTGATTCAAGCGAGTGGTGGGCAGGATTAGAAGAGTCTGGTGGTCCGCGAGTGCCTGGTATAGTGACTGCCTGCCTGGCACACCTGCGGCGCCATGGTCTACGCACGCTCGGCCTCTTCAGGGTGTCAGCATCTAAGAAGAGAGTTAGACAGGTAGGCTTGGTTCTACATTCTTGTCACTATACAGTTTCTTATTTTCTCAGATGGTAAAAAGGATGGAAGAGAGAAAGGACCGCGCGGAAAATTCAATTATAAACTTTAAATGAAGATAAATCTGTCATACAAAATAAATAATGTACAGTCTAGCAACGTCTTAAGGATTTAGTAAAAGATAAAAGAACGAAGATTTTTCCAAAAAGAAGATTAAGAGTCATATTTAAATTACAAAAAGTTATAAAAAGGAGGTTTATTACGCCATCAGATGGTATTGAAATGCATGTTTCAAGTTTGATAACAATTCTTTCGTTAAAAATCACCAGCCATCAACACATATTTTTGTTCTTTTGACCACTCTAATGTTGAACCCCAAATCAACAACAAGAAGTATCTTTTTCTACATGTATCTGTATATCATAGTAACAATATGATATTGTATATCAAAGGCAATAAATCAAATAGCAACAAATCCACGCACGTGCCTTATTTTCTGCCGAACAATATCGTTATTTCTCGCGCAGCGCCCATTTTAAACATCTACAATGTAATAGTAACAAACATGAAAACTCTGACGCAGTTGCTATGACAGAAAATACAACAGTAAAACCATACAAATGTTAAGTTTAGGAAGTATCGATATCGAAAACGAAATATCGACTGACGGAATTAGATGTTTTGCCGATCGACGCGATGATCCAGTTCAGTTTAGTGAGGCAGATTTATTACAAAGTTTGCGGTAGCGGAGACCGCGGCTGCGGCGATAGCCATCGGCCGCTGGATAATGCGGTGCCGAGAGAAATTTAGATACTCTCGGTTTAGATTCTCTATTAATAGTGCACATCTCCGGAATGAGTAACCTCCGCTGACACGCACTCCGCCGTTTCTATCGCACACTTATTGTTATTTATTTCCATTACATTTGTATTACTGTTACGCAAGTGAGTTGCATAATTTATTACTTTCGACAGCTTGTGCGTTATGTTTCATTTGCTTTTGCCCACGGTTCCCTTGCGTGGAATTTAAAAAAATGAACCTATGTATTCTTCCAGACTATATTCTGCATCTATGCCAAATTTTATCGAAATCCGTTCAGCCGTTTAGTCTACAAACTCTAACAAACTTCCATCTAAAGTTTTTCGTATGATAATGGCGAAATCTATTCGTATCTCGCTATGATTTTATGATTACTTACTCGTACAAGTAGTTTAATCTTGTGTTTGTCAATAGTAAATAAGTTAATAGTTTATATCATGTCACTGGAAGTGACAATGTCATATGATCAAAGTGTGACATGAGGGTTGGTGTATTCCAGTTGCGCGAGGAGTGGGAGCGCGCGCAGGAGACGGCGCTGGACTCGGCGGTGTGTCCGCACGACGTGGCCACTCTGCTCAAGGAGTTCCTTAGAGACCTGCCCGACCCGCTGCTCTGCAGAGATTTGTATCCTGCGTTTTTACAGACACAGAGTAAGTTGCCCTACTAAATTGTCCAAGGAATCTTCCATCATGTATGTTGTTTTTATTCTTTTCATTACTTTAGAGGGGAGCACACTTTTGACTAAATTATCTTACATCTTCTATCTTCTGTTGCGGTTGTCAATTGTTTCGTAGCCAATTCAACTGTTTAGTTGTACAACTAAAGATCAAGTACTGTGCACATCTTTATATAAGCTCATAGAAGTCAAAACGAGATAAAACAGTTTGTGTGTCTAGTAAGATTTAAGTCTTTTGTTAATAATAACGTGATACAAGTCGGTTACCGTGTAGAATGTAAATGTACACCGGTAGAGGTAGACCTAAGAAGCGATGGATGGATTGCATGAAAGGTGACATGATCAAGAGGAGTGTGATGACTGAGATGAGATAATAGAGTTATTTGGAGGAGGAAAATTCGGAACGCCCTATGGGAGTAGGATGAGGTAGGGCAGACAATGATACAATTTAAATAATTTGTTAATTGCTCATTAAATCGGTTACTTGATTTGTTTGAATTAGTAAGATTGATTCGATGAAGACATTGCTAGTAAAGTAACTAGTAGTTTTCAAAAATACATGAACATCGTATAGGTTTTCAATTACCCTCAAAGAATAGGTTGTAATGTATGAGTATGTGTGCGTGGCGCAGAGATCCGCAACCGGCGGCTGCAGTGGGAGGCGCTGCGGCTGGTGGTGCAGCTGCTGCCGGCGGCGCACCGCGACACGCTGAGCGCGCTGCTGGCCTTCCTGGCGCAGCTGGCCGCGCACGCCGCCGACGACGCGCAGCCCGGCAACAAGATGGACGCCGCCAACATCGCCACCATCTTCGCGCCCAACATCCTGCACAGGAACAAGCCCAACGAGGCCGCCAGGTCCGTCTTACACTCTTCAAAACGTCTTTGGGAAACGGCAAAATTAAGTTAATAAACAAATAAATACGTGGTATGTGTTGTCAGCGCGGAGCAGCTGTCGGAGCGCGCGGACGTGATCAACGTGGTGCGGCAGCTGCTGGAGCGGCAGGCGGAGCTGTGGGCGCTGCCGGCCGAGCTGCTGCACGAGGCCTACATCCACCTCGCGCACTCCGCGCCCGCGCTGCTGGACTCGCTGCTGCTGCGCCGCGCGGAGTCAGTGCACCTCACTACCTCACACCTCACACCTCACACCTCACACCTCACTACCTCACACCTCACACCTCACTACCTCACATCTCACACCTCACTACCGCACTAACTTACTGCCTTACTACTTCACTACCTCACTACTTTACTACTTCACTACCTCCTCTCTTTACTGACAACTAACAGTGGTAGAGACCGCTTTGGCGTATTCGCAATATGATTATAAAAATGTTAAAGCGGACTCGATCGGATGAGTGTGATGCCGGAGGCAAACAAGCGAGCGGTCACCTAAACTTGCCGAAAAGACGCGACCTTTGCCTAGAGACATCACACTGCCTACCCTTAATCGACAGAGGACCCAATTAAGAGAACATTTCCCCTTTCCTCTTCTACCAAAAAATTCATCCTTTTTATCCTTATAAGAAAATGGTGGGAAGGGAAAGAGACTAAGATAAGATCTTTGGCACACTCAGACTGTACGCGGAATTGCTCTTATTTCACGTGTTGTATGGCGTGGTATGTGTGACGAGTCCTACAGTGCGAAGATGTCAAAGCGGGCTCTACCTCTGTTAAATTCTTCTCTTGTAATATTGTATGATGTGAATAAACTAATTTGCACTAAACTAGCTGTCCTATCATTTGTAAATTAGAGGCCTAATTTTAATGCTTTTCCCTTTCCAACCTTTTCTTAAGAAAAGAGGAAGGGATGGAAAAGTGGGTTTGACGGTGAATAAGACGCTTAGGAAGAGGAAATCTCTTTATGTTCTCCTTCGTCAATGAAGGATAGGCAACGCATCTGCAATTGCGGATGTCTATGGGCAGCGGACGCTTCCATTTCGATGGATTCAGATGGCCACTTGCTTGTTTGCTGCCTTATATTGTAAAACATGTGTACAAGTATGTTGTTTGTGTAGATGTGCGGAGGCAGTGGGGGGCGGGGGCGGTGGCGGTGGGGGCGGTGGGGGCGGTGGCGGTGGCGGGGAGTGCGCGGGGGGCGAGGCGCGGCGCGTGTGGTCGCGGGAGCAGTTCCTGCACGGCGCCGCCGCCACTGCTGCCCCTCCCCCAGCGCTGCTGCACGGGTAAGATCTTACTGAATTTCTTGTACTTCTTATCCTTTGTTATTTTTTAGTAAAAAATCTTATTTATTTAAGAATTAACTCAGCACATGTGCTGGTCTTCTATTGTAATTTGTCTTACGTGTCTTTACGCCCGATTACTCTATCTACAAGTTACTGTGACGAAGCCAGTCGATAACCAGCACAGGAATGGCTTAGTCTTGCACACACTAAATTGGATACCTTTTGACACATGCATACTAACAAATGCAGAGTTTAGATGTATGGAGGTTTGTTTAAGTTTGTAGCCTAGTAGAGGATAGTCTGGAAGAATACAATAGTTACTTCCTTTTGTTTTTGTTTCCACGCGAACAGAGTCGTGGGAGAAAACTAATGTTATAATGTCTAGATTTTTCTATGTCCTTTTGTTTCGATTTTGTAGTAATAAGTACATTTTCTATTCAACTTATGTTACTATTCTTATTTAATTTTCATAATATTTCAGAGAGAAGTCGTATTCCCGGACTAGAAGATCGAGAGACGCGGCGTCAGAGATCTCAGCAGGCTCCTTGTCCTCGGCCATGACCGTCATCACAAGGTATGTGTAACGAAGTCCGATATTATGAGCATGTGTTTGGTAATGTTTGCTGATGGACTGGTCGTTGAAGTTAGTTTTTAATGGTATTGGCTGATTTTCAGCTAAAGACTGTTGGTAAAAATGATGCAATTGGTTATATTTTTCTTCAAAGTACTTCGAGAGTTTTGTTTTTCCTTTTACTGCGCAGACGAAATCGCGGACAACAACTAGTTTTATATGATTTGTTGATGCTTATGTGTGATGTTCCAGGGTGAGAAGTAGCGAGGAGTGTGTGAGTGGGGTGGGCAGCGCTGCGCCGCGCGCAGACTCCGCGCCGGACTCCAACGACTCCGCCAGCGATTACAATGAGGTTAGTGCAGCAGTAAAACGTATCGTAAGTGTTAGGATATTTATTAAAGAGAGAATTATTTGAAAACATACTGTGCTTGTTGATATCCTACAAAAAAGTCTGTCATCTTCATCTCCCCTACCTTATCCTACTCCCGTAGGGTCGGTCCACCGAGTTTTCGTCCTGCAAAGAAGTCTATCTTCCATCATCTCAGTCATTATTGCCTTTTGGATCTTGTCACCTTTCACGCAATCCATCCATCTCTTTCTAGGTCTACCTCTACTGGTGTACCTCCACACCATAACTAACATCCTTGTAACATGCGATTCATCCAAAGAAGTGTTTGATTACGCTTTATTTTATATTAGTATAGATACAGATAGGTATAATGTGTGTGTGTGTGGCAGGCGGGCGGCGGCGTGTCGGAGGACGAGTGTGTGATCACGGCGTCGCTGCACATCCCCGTGTCGCAGGCGCGCCGCCGCTCCGCCTCCTCCTCCTCCTCCGCCAAGCGCGACTCCGCCGTCGGCTCCTCGCCCTCCGCCAGCCTCTCCGGCGCCTCCTCGCCGCCCGCCTCGCCGCCGCCGCACGCCGCGCTCGCCTCACTCGCGTCGCACGCCTCGCCCGCGTCGCACGCCTCGCACGCCTCGCACGCCTCGCTCGCGTCGCAAGCGCGCCCCGACATCGACCGCCTCGGCGCACTCGCACGGTAAATGCTTTTTTCAATAATACGTTCATAGTTTTATGTATACATATTGATTCTTTATAGAGGGACCACCTTCCGCCCACGACTTCGTCCTCATGGTATCAAAAACAAAAGAAAGCAGCCAATGTGTTCCTCCAGACTATCCTCTACATCTATCCCAAAATTCATCAAAATCCGTTCAGCAGTTTAGGCTACAAACTCTAACATCCATCAAAGCCTTCGCATTTATAATATTATATTCTTTGTGAAGGTACAGGACCTTAATAGCTGTCATTTAAATGCAAAGTGTATTCCACGATTTTCTATTGTTTTAAAGTTATTAAATAGAGTACCTCTTACTAATATCAAAAACGCGAAAGTTTAGATAGATGTTTGTTAGAATTTGTAGCCTATAATGCTGAATGAACTAAATCTTGAAAAATTTGGCCTAGATATAGGGGATAATCTAAAACAACACCTAAGCGCCTTTTTTTTAATTCCACGCGGACGGAGTCGCGGGCGAAAACTAAAAGGGTAAACTTTAAAACTAGAAAATCGAGTAACAAACTTGAAGTTTAAATAATAACTATTAGTCCTCTACATCCACAACACTTAAGGTACAATAAAAACATCTGCATGTAAAAAAAAACAAAAAAACATAAATAAAATACTACAAATTACAGAGAACGTAATACGTCAGACGCGCGCGCGGTTGTACTGCGACAACACGACCAGCACGAGGCGAGCCGGCGTGTGCGGCGTGACGTCACCGTGCGCAGCGACCGCGCGGAGGAGGGGACGCAGCGCGGCGAGCGCGCGGAGGAGAGGACGCAGCGCACGGAGCGCACGGAGGAGAGGACGCAGCGCACAGAGGAAAGGACGCAGACGCAGACGCTGTACAAGCGCGGGGAGCTGATCTCGAGCGCGCGCTCGCCGCCCGCGTGACACTTATACATAAAAATATTTATATTATATTTATTTTTTTATTATTGTAATACAGTATTTTACGTGTACTTTTTATATCGATACCCTAAACTTTTATAACCCGTGTATTATTTTCCACTTTAGTATTACGTAAATTGTTTTTATTCCAATTTTCATCAATGTCCAATTCGAGTCCGAAAATTGACAAAAAAGTAATAAATAAATGTAAATAACAGAAAGCGTGAAAAGCTATACATATTTAAATAACATACAAGAGATATTAATTCAAATTCCTTATTTTTATTTTAAAATTCTTATTCAAAAAGGCTTATTATATTAATATTACTATTGAAATTAACAGAGATTATTAAAGTTACAAGATAATTATAAAATAAATCATTAAATATAGTGAAGCATTTTGCGATAGGATTTACGTTGGAAGCATTGTTGTTGATGTTGTTTTTGTTGTTGTTGTTGTTGTTGATGTTGTAGTTGTTGTTGTTCTTGTTGTTGTTGTCTACTTCCTGTGCAGTTTGTCGCGCATAATGATGCCTCCTAATTTGGACACATTGTCTTGGTACTCAGTCTTACCAAGCGGCGGCACCAGCGAGGTCGTCTCTACACATTTCAAATAATATTAGTGCTAATCGACATTTTCTAATATCGTTAAGAGCTATTGGTACAAAAGTGAGTTTTAAGAGTATGGAGTAGGTAAGGGAAGGGACTTGTATGTAAGAAGAGGATAAGTTTTGTGCCCCTATTGATTTAAATGAACGCATCTACATATGCGGTCTACGTGTAGCGATCACTTCGCTATTTATGCGAAAACTAGTGACCACTTATATGTTACCTTAAAAAAAGATAAGAATTTTTATAGACCAATCCTATCAGTCAGATCCTAAAAAGGCGAGATATAAAAAAAATCAGTTAGACAACTTAGGGTCACGGATAGCTTTATGTAAGTTAAAGTAACACTGATACAGACCGCACTTAGCGCGCGGGTCAGGGCCGCCTCCTGCCTGCTTGGAGATGGTCTTGGGCGTGGTCATGCGGATCTTGGGCGCGACGCGGCACGGGTCTCCCGGCAGGCGCATCGGCTGCGAGCACGGACCAGACCCGCTCTCGTCAGCCGCGCGTTGCAGGTTGTCGAACTTAGCTCCTGGACCTTAGAACACAAATCACGCAAATTAAATAACTACGGAAAATTGGACTCTTTAATTGTCATTCCATAAGTAGCGAGTTCTTGATTCATAGGTTTTTCTTTGAAATCAAAAGTATTGCGATCCCATTTACATTTTTTTTTAATAAAAATACTAACTAGTAGATTTTTGTCAATTTACTAATAATTACTTTTTTAATAATAACCTGACAAAGTTAAATGTACAGTAATCGCAAAAAAAACTAGACTAACATCATCACAACAATAAAACAACTCAAATGGAGATGGACGGGACACACTTTACGCGGAGCTGACAAATGGAATAAATTTATAAACTACTGGTATCCAAAAAAAGGTAAAAGGAAACGAGGAAGACAACACAAACGATGGGAAGATGACATAAAAAAGGCTGCAGACCTTGTTAAGAAAGGCAAAAAGAAGGGAGAATGGAAGAATTTGGAAGAGGCCTATGTCCAACTTGGACACACAGATAACAAATAACAAATCAAATAAACCGAAAAAAAAAGAATAATAAAATTAATTAATAAATATAATGTAACAATATTCAATTCAATTTATGTAATGTGACAGTAATTTAATTATCTGAAAAAGGCTCATTATTATATATTATTATATATTATTATTAAATAATTACTTAATTCATTTCAACTAAACTCTAGGATTGTGCTAGTATATGGTTCACAATAGTCGAATGGCGGGATTCGAACCCTCGACCCCAAGATCGGTAGACCCAAACCATTAGGCTATTGGCGCTTTATTATTACCTAACTTTATCTACTTTGTGTAAGACCTACATAGTCACAGAACAGAAATTGTCGTCGAATCTAAAACCTGATCTAAAACTCCTTAGATCAATATTCTTTCATGCACAGCAATACTTACCGCTCTCACAAAAATCGACATGGTAAGTGGTTTTGTTCCTATCTCGGTCGATCCTCTGCTTAAGTTCCGGCGAAGCCTCATTCTGCAGGATGCTGTACAGCATCGGGTACTTCGATTGCAGCTGCAGAGAAAAGAACATGTTATAGCTCAGGACGACACAAGGGTATTAGAATTAGATCAAACATACCTTATCCAGGAATGCATTAGGCTGGTTATATCGTGACGTAGGAGTCTCCGGGGCGGCTGCGACGCGGGCGGGGTACAACTTTGGATCTAGTAATGGGCCCATAATCTAAAATAATAAAGAAATCTTTACGAACTTCATAGTGAAACTATCTTACTTTATTCTTACTAGTTTATCCTAAAAACTCAATTTTTGGATTTTTGTATGTATTTAAATAACTCAAAAACTGCTGGACAGATTACAAAATTTCTTTCACCATTAAAAGTTTGGATAGATGAATAAATGTTTGTTAGAGTTGCCTGAACAGCTAAACGGATCTCGATGAAATTTGGCATAGATGTAGAGCATAGTCTGGAAGAACACATAGACTACACACATTTGTTTTTTAAAAAACACGCCAACAGAGTCGCGGTCGGAAGCAAGTACAAAATAAATTGTTTACAATATTTACAGTGAAAAGTACTCGTTCTTTGCCATCTGGTTTATAGAAGACAAACATTACAGTCTGGGTTACTGGCTTACAAAGGGTATACCTCTATCCTACTCCACCCCCCCTCCTTGCCGGGTGGTAGCTGGGGCATCTCTCCGCCTGAATATTGCGGGCAGCGGCAGTCGGGCGGTCTCGTTTGCTGCATGCACGCTTGGTAGAACGCCATCTCCTCACCAGACAGCTTCGGTACTCTGAATTCATGATTTTTAATGAAATATCAAAGAAAGTACTGGTTCCCAATTAGGATTACTTTTTTTTATACAATAAAGTGACAAACGAGCAAGCGGCCACAGAAATCCGCCAAAATGGCGAAGTGACCGCTGCCCATAGACATCCGCAATTGCAGATTAGTTGCCAACCCGGTAAATCAACGCAGGAGGAGGGGCACGTAAAGAGGATTTTGCTCCTTCCTATGCGTCTCCTCCACCGTCAAATCCACTTTCCCATCCAATCCTTTACATAGACACGTTTTCTGCTTGCCGAAATATTGTGTTAAGTCTTTTCTATTAGAAGTTACTAACTCAGCGATCCCGCCATGTTGCGCCGCCCCTGGGGCCTTAGGCAGGTCGGGCCAAAGATAGTCCTTCCTGTACGTGGTAAGGTAATGGTCCATGCTTAATTTTTAGTTAAATTTTTATAATTTTCCACATCACGAAAATTTAGATTTCTGTTTGTTTACTGATCAAGACATAATAAATGTCATTAGATTGACTGTCATATTGATAGGTTCCTTTGACTTTTGGTGTGCGTATTGATTTTTAAAAAATCTATGAAATAGCTTACACCCGCGACTATGTCCACGTGAAATTGAAAAATAAAATCAATAATGAATAGCCTATGTCTTCCAGACTATCCTCTACATTTATGTTAAATTTCATCGAATTCCATTCAGCGATATTGACTACAAACTCTAACATCCATCCATCGAAACTTTCGCATTTATAATATTAGCAAGAAGTAAGATGACCTTGAAATGCTTATTTCCTACTCTACATTTCTTCACATAGTTTATTTTTGCCAAAGGTTTATACAAGGATTTATGGTAAAAAATAAGAAACATTGATTATTTAAGCATTTATTTAAAAACTTCAAACAATTTGTATTACGATTATAAGAGAAATTTTGAAAGTCAACATGAAATGAACAAGAAAGCATTTATACGTAGTAAGTATATGTAAACGGCGTCTTCCATCTGCCGTATTTCGGCTCCTCTCGCGGGGGTCCGAAGGGGTTCTTGTTGAGTACCACCTTGGCCAGCAGACCATGACACACATCGTAAGTCGTGTCACCCGTTGTCACACGCAGTATACGACGTAGTTCTCCTACACAGAATTGCAAGTATAAAAAGCGATAGAGTTGGCACGTCTAATGGAAAATACATCTTACTAGCTTTCGCTCGCGACTCCGTTCGCGTGGTATTAAAAAAAGTAAGTAGCCTACGTTTTCCAGACTAAGTTCTACGTAAAGCCAAATTACATGGATATCCGTTCAGCAGTTTAAACTACAAATTCTAACATCCATCCATCTAAACTTTCGCATAATATTAGTATGATTAACAGTGTGCCAACTCAATTAATGAATACTACGGACGATATGCATTTAAATTCCGACAAGATTATTATAAAAAAATTTCAGTACTTCGTTAAACATTTTACTAATTTTGGGTCTTATATACTTTTATTTCTCGAGCCTAGATTGATAAGACTAAGACTTTGGCCATAAGCACCGTCATGCTATGCTTTGGGCTACCTGTAAAGGAGGAAGTAGATGATACTTTGGGCTAGCTCTAAAGGAGGGAGTTGCCCCCTACCCACTCTGGCCACATGCTTTAGGTTAACGCCCAATAAAATATTTTTGATAAAAATGAAGGCACATACTTGTCAGCGAGTCATCAAATTTAGGCTTCATAGACATCTTGGCGGGAAGTTCAGCGTACTTCTCCGGCGCGGGATGCCGGTAGCTACCGCGCTGGCTGGTGTCAGGTATCTCCACGTCGTCTGGCAGCCGCAGGGTCTGCAGCGCACGAGCCCGTCGTGCCAGGTTCACCGACATGAAGGGTAACTCTAGAAGAAGCATTAAGTTTAAGATTTACGAGCGACGTGGGAAATTTATCTACTCCGCCTCTTTCTTAGCAATTAATGTGTAAACAGGGTTATGTGAAACTGTATTTTGTAGACTTATGGTGCTCATTTCTATGTCGCTAAAACGCCTACTATACGGATTGTTTTGTTTATAACTAGTGCTCACGAATTCGTCCGCGTAAAATTAACGAATAAGAAAAAAATATAGACTATGTTGCTTGCTGGTGAAAGAATTTTTGAAATAGGCCCAGTAGTTTTTGAGTTATTTCAATACATACAAAAATACAAATCTTTCCTCTTTATAATATTATTATAGACGAATTATCTTCTTCCCGCGACTCTGTCCGCATGAAAATAAAAAAACAAAAGTAACATAGGCGTGTTCTGAATATTCTCTACATCTTTGCTAAATTTCCTCGACATCCGTTCAGCTTTTTTGGCTACAAATATCCATCTAAACATTTGTATTATATTTAAAAGATTAGTCAGATAAACTAGCGCTTCACAACGATATGGTATGTGCAAAAAGCGATACGAGTTACCTTAGTTTCAAATTAAAGAACAGAACACATTAATGTATCTTACCTCTGGAACAATATTTGACAAGATACTCCGTTCTATTCAGATCTTGTAAATCGTTTTCAATAGGGACTGGATCTATATCTTTGGTCATATGTTGCTTAGCTATTTTCGGATAGTCTTCTGAAAACTACATGTTCATATTGTTTTGAAAATCCCTATATTTGTGACGATATGTGAATGTATTATCTATAACAGTACAAGTAAAGTGTTTCCTGTTGGACCATTAAGTTACTAATCGTTTACAAATCAGCTGAATAGGAAAATTTTAGTCGGTCCAACGGGAAACTACCTTACAAAAACAACTAAAAATTACTGACTATCTTTCGCCCGCGACTCCGTATGCGTGGAAACAAAAGTAAACAGCCTATGTGTTCTTCCAGACTATCCAATACACTATTCCAAAATCCAGTGAAATCCGTTCAGCATTTTAGACTTCAAACTCTAACAAACATCCATCAATTCAATAGTAAAGGTTTAAACTAACCCTGGTTATAGCTTCTTTGTAATATTCATGTTTGAGTGGGCAAAGCATGTCTGGGCTCTTGCGTGGCTTGTCTCTGGGCTTGAGGGCATCGCGGCCCAGACCCACGATCAGACAGTCGTCGTCTACTGCCTTACGCCGTGGGCTTTTACTGTCTCAAAATATTTATTACAATTATAACAAAAAATTTCTATCTCGGATTTTTTAGATGGAGATATTTCGTTTTGAGTTCTGACTAGTTTTCGCCCGCACGGACGGCCGCGTGAAATAAAAAAAAAAACAAAAGTGAGTAGCCTATGTGTTCTTCAAGACTATCCTCTACATCTATGCCAAATTTTATCGAAGTCGTTTAAGCTACAAACTCTAACAAACATCCATCTAAACTTTCGCATTTATAATATTAGTGTGATATACTTACGGTTTTTCCTTCTTGATGAAGTCATTCATATAAACCGATTTAAATTCTATTTCGCCGTCGAACACCGACATTGTTTTTATATTATTTTATTTGAAACTAGGAAATAATTATGAAAATCTTTTAGGAGTCAAAACGTCATTCAAAATGTTATTGACATTGTTTACAGATGACACATTTTTTTAGGCATTGCAAATAAAAAAGGTAATTTTAATTATCTATATTTCTGTACTAACTTTCTCGCGACTCCCACTTAGCATTAAAAAAGTAGCCTGTGTACTTCCAGACTCTACATCTATGCCAACATTCATCAAGATACGTTCAGCAGTTTAGGCTTCAAATCATCCATCTATCCATCTCAACTTTCGCATTTAGTAAGATAGTCTAGACAAAATAATAAATATAATGAAATGTATTGCAAAGCACGTTAACTATGTAAATAAAACTTATTTTAACTAGATAAATATTATCGAAACTCCAATACCAATCAAATCCACTGCTAAAATAAGGGAAAACTTATGTATTTATTTTGGGAAAAACTGAAACAATTCAATAAAAAAAATGTTTAAATAATACAAATTTAAATATTTATTATTACACATTATATCAACGAATTAACACTTTCTTTGAATATACGATAACGACAAATAAAGCAGTAATACTAAATTAAAAAAATTATTCAACTAACGTTAATAGCCTTACACAATAAACATGTAACGCTAAAAAAATAAACCAACCAATTTTAGTCATAAATAAAAAGGATTTAAGTTTTAAATTGTTTTTTTAACATCATAATAAAATAGGTCGCAAATTAAAATATTTTTACAACTATCGAATCATTTATTTTTTTAGCATTACATACTAATTACAAACAGATTTTAATATTTTCATAAATTGGTATTTTTTTATTAAATTAACAAATAAAAAATAATACTAAATTTACATCTTCGAGATATAGACCCGGCGAAAAGAATTCATTCTTACAATACGAACTTCAATCACGTCAATATCGCGTCTATATTCCATTTAATCTGTACAATATTATAAAAAGGAAAGATTTGTATTTTTGTATGTATTGAAATAACTCAAAAACTACTGGGCCGATTTTAAAAATTCTTTCATCGTTAGAAAGGTAAATTATCTGTGAGTAACATAGGCTACATTTTTCACGAGGGTGAAATCGCGAGCAACAGCTAGGAATCAATATTCAGAGTTACAATTCACTCAAAATCAGTTAAAAACGGAGACCTCATGATATTTCGTGAGAAAGTTTCCATGACGCCATTGAGAAAATTTGTATTAGTGCAGCGCCCCTACCGGACATAAAGTACACTAAGAAATCTCATACTTTTCGTGATAGACCCTCTGTTTCTTGTCTACAAAAGACTCGATTCTAAATCTTCTGATACTAAAACTTTACTAAGGGACGTCTTCATTCAAGCAGTGAATTATTGTTTGGCTTGTTTACGAAGTTGTGACGTCACATAACTGACGTTATAATGACGTGATTGACACGACAATGAATCCTTAACATAGAATGGCAACAAACTGATTTAAAACACTATAAGCTCTTTCATTACTAAATACTTTTACAATACGCGTTTCTACCGTGAGTTGTAACTGCCGATATACAGGGTGATTCTTTACTGACGGATCCCCGGCTTTGTAGAGAAGGGATCTTTTTTTTACGATTTTTTAAATTAAAAAACTATAAAAAACGGGCAACACATTTTTCTTTTAGCTTGTGATCCGTCCGTTACGAATCAGCTTGTATATATTTTCTCACTTTCGTTAAGGAAAATAAGTGTTCTTATATGATGGCCTCGTCAGAAATTCACGTTTAAACTCTGCTTTGATAGAAAATATGTTATGATTAAGAAACTTTTCATTCGTTTAAAAAAGGTTTTTAATTTAATTTAATAAAAAAACGACATTTTTTCTGTAATATAATTTTGCAAAATATTTTTTAAAATTTTTGAAAAGTAAAAAAAAAAATTGTTCATAGTTTCATTTAATTACATTTATCTTTTTTATTTGATGAAAAATAATAGATAAAAATGTCATTGTTTAAAATTTCCCGAAATATCTGAGTCGATAATTGTGTCTTTATATTTTTCCATGATAAGCAGAACTTTTACAAGGCTTTTAAAATTATTTACAATATAAACATTCAATCAGTCGCATTTCATTTATATTAGATTTATATTTATTTAGATTCTATAGCATTGTTAAATTAATATATCTTAATTCAAATGACATGGGAAGATAAATGACAAAAAAAGTTACATCTGCAAAAAACTTTAAACCCCATTTTTTTTAGTTGATGTGTATAATTTTTTATTATTATTTTTGTTTCAGTTAATTCAAATATATATTTAGTCTTTAGCAAGTTTAAAAAATGCTTTTTTCGATACTAATTCTCACTTTAAGTTGTAACTATTTCTGTCGTTTAGGCGATATTTTAAAAAAAAGGTCAATTTCAGAATTTTAAAAAATCAATTATATATAAAACTAAGAAACACGAGAAAAATATTCCTACAAAATCAAAGTATTTTTTTGTAATTTCAAATGCACCAAAGCGTATGCTTTAAAAGCAAGTTATTTTACAATATTTATACATAATTATTATTTTTATATACATACATACAGATTTCTAACATTTTATATAATTGAATACATAAAGATTAAAATACAATTAGTTACAAAAAAAAACCTATAGAATAATTGAAAAAACTTAACTACTGAAGCATTTGTACAAAAAAAATAATATCCAATGTTGAGTTTCAAGTTTTTTTCCACTTCAGTAGTAAAAACTCACATTTATACAGATAATAGAAAGAAAAAATCTTATATTTCTCAACAAATATGTTACCCGCACATATATTAGAGAAAACTGGGCAATTCAATAAACATACTAGAGAAGTCCCTTAGTTAAGATTTTCCATAAATCTAAACTAAAAGACTTGTGTGAACAGTTCGAAGTGTAGATATTTAGTAATAATAAAAAAGATTACTAAAAATAGGAGTTACCCAATTTTAGTTTTATAGTGATTCCTCTAATATTTGCCGATTTACTAAACAAAACATTTTTCTTCTTTCACATATTAGTTGGAAAAAAACACATTTCATATTTAAGAGTTCCATAATTATTTTTATATTTATAAACTCACTGATTTCACTATTTACTGAACACTTATTCACTGACATTAACACTTTCCCCGACAATGTCATTTGTCGATTGTCACCAAAGTCAATGTCGGTCGTCTTCCGACATGGAACGCTGCTAGGGCACCCTGAAGGGCACCACCAGGTCCTCGTGATGTTCCACCCTCAGCTCCGATATGGCTGCCGCAGCTTTCTTCACTGCATTCGTTATCTAGAAATAAAAATATTTTTATAGACGACATAAATAATTAGTTTTTGTAGCAAAAACTATAACCAAAGAATTTTAAAAATATAGACTAGATATGGGGAATATTTTTCACCGGTAACTTCTTTGTATGGTGATATCTCAATGTATAAGACATGCAGAGATGCGTCTTAGTGTTTTAATTATTTATTTGTTTGTGATTTTGACTATTATGTGAAAAATGTTTCATGTGAGCTGTCAACTATGTCTATTTTATATATTTTTAAATCTCTGTTACCACACTAAAATCAAAATCTCACATATTTCAACTAGTTCAGTAACTCGGGCATGCAAGTTACTGAGCCATTTTACTGGCATGCATATAAACAATGCTTCAATCATACTAATATAATGCGAAAGTTTAGATTGATGTTAGAGTTTGTAGCCTAAACTGCTGAAAGGATTTTGATGAAATTTGGCATAGATATAGAGGATAGTCTGAAAGAACACATAGGCTATTCACTTTTGTTTTTTTCAATTCCACGCGGACGAAATCCCGGGAGAAAGCTAGTAAACAAATAATTCAAACACTGAGAATCGTCCAGACCATACTTCACATATATGCCAAATTTCATCGAGATCCGTTAAGCAGTTTAGACTAAACTCTAACAAGCATCCATCCATCCAAACTTTTACATCTATACTAATATTATAAAGTTTATAATATTAGTAAGAAGTAAGATGGCTTGACACCCGTGACTGATAATTATAGTGTGTGGGGGTGTTCACAGTGAATGAGCAATAAAGCAGTGAGAAGGTTACCAGGTCTCTGTCTGCGGCGTGCGGCGGGAGCGCGAGCGCGGCGGCGCGCTGCGCGGGCGGCAGGTCGGCCAGCAGGCGCGGCGCGCGCGGCGGCGGCGGCGGGGCGGCGGCCGCGCGCGCCGTGTACGTGCGCACGCGCTCGTTGTACGCGCTCGCTTCCAGCGCGTACGGGCCCAACGCGCCCACGTCTATCACGTTACTGGAATACACACATTCATTTCCTGTTACATCATTCAAAAACTAGGAAACTCGACTAATTGCACCCCATGGTAACAATGAAATTATCCTGATTGCTATTAAAAGGATCAAATAACATTTTAAGATCGATTAATCATATTATCGATATGGCGTTGGACGGGACACATGTTAAGAGAAAGCAAAGAGAAATGGACCAAGTTAATAACCACTCTGTTATCCAAGAGATAGCAAAAGAAAAAGAGGGAGACAAAACAAAAGATGGGAGGATGACCTCAAGGAAATAGCTGGTCCAGTATAGACAAGTTTAGCAAAAGACAGGAATGAGTGGAAATCTCTAGAGGAGGCCTTTGTCGGTAGACAAGCATTTCCGCACAAAAAAACAGTTGCCGATAACACAAATGAAAAATGGTAATTTTTATTATAAATTGTAATCAGAAAAGCAATAAGGGCTATTTTATTTTTTTACTTTTATAATCATATTATTTTAATATTAATTAAGAGGAAAGGGTGGGAAAGAAAGTGGATTTGACGTTGGGAGTGCATAGGAAGGGGAAATATCCTCTATATGTGCGTCTCCTCCTCCATCGATTAAGGGTAGGCAACGCATAGCTGCGGTCGCTTCCATTTCTGCGGCTCGTTTGCCACCTTATAATGTAAGAAAACTCACGTGGCGGTTTCATGCAGGATCCTGTTGAGGGCACTTTGCTCGTCAGGCTTTCTGGGTGGTGTGGCAGCGCACGCCACCGGTGATGGACTCTCCTGCTGCTGTTCCGCCACTTCTAGAAGATGCGTCCGTTCGTTCACTACGTTCTCCTGGAATGATAACCAACGATCTACTTAGAAATTTCATATCTAAGGGTCGATTCATTTATTCACTTAAATAACTACCTATGAAATTATTGGATTTAATGTTTTTAAATGACGTCGTCAAAGGGATGTCTGATGATGAAAGAGCAGAAAATTTTGCTATTCAATAAAGTGGTGTTTTTTTGCTTATCTGTCTAATAAAAAATCTGACTTAAATGTCCTATCTTTGTTTTGTTTTTTTTTTTTAAATTGGACACCCAGTTGTGGAAACATATAGTAAAAAAAACATACAGAATATTGGGAATCTATTTCTTTTGAAATGTCAGTAAAATATATAAAAGGAATAGCATGGAATTAGTGATTTGTCCAATAAAACACGGAAACTAATAAAAGTACTGTGTGAAATCATAGTTAAAATTTTTTAAAGAAAAATAAATGTACTATCTAGACTAGTTTTATTTGAATTTATATTATAGAATCTAGAAAAACTAGACAGATTATTTCACAAGAGTTTTAAATGTTAAACATATAAAAACAATCATGGCTAATACATTAAGATTATGTGCATATGTAATTGTGCATATTTGGTTCGTAAATTGTTTTACAAGGAATCTCTGTGGTAGGCAATAATATGAGTTTATATGCTGTATTTTATTTAAAAACTAGCTGTTTCCATGCATTTTGTCACATTACATGACAAAAAAAACATTATTTTATTGTTTCCATTTACAAATGTTAACAAAGGTCCTTAATATTGGCCGATAATTTAAGTAACCATGGCAACCTTGACTGCCATTGACTTGTAGTTTTTGTCCCTTTCTTGAAGAGTGATTTTCACAATTGTTTGTTTTTGAATTGATTTTTATTTTTAAATTTGATTTTTATTTATCTAACGCTACCTTATTCTACTCCCGTAGTATCGGCGCAACAGATTGTCGTCCTCCAAATAACTCTATCATCCGTCATCTCAGTCATCACCCCCCTTCTTGATCATGTCACCTTTTCACAATCCATCCCTTTCTAGGTCTACCTCTACCAATGTATCTCCACATTTTTTCGTTTTTAATAGTATTATCTCTAATTGAAAGTCACCTTGTCTAAGGTAAATTACTTACTAATTATATTCTTACACAAATATTTATAAAAGGATACTATAGAATAAAATAGACTATGACTTAGATATTGCATCAGTGTAGAATTATCCTTGTAATCTTATGTCTCTATGCAAATTGATAAACATAAGGTTTTGAATGCATAAATTATTGTGTTGACAGTCTGCAAAACATGCTAATTCTGTTTTTATATTTTACTAGCTATTGCCTTCGACTTCGTGCACGCAATATAAAGATAAAAAGTAGCCTATAATATGCCCGTCTATATCAGCTACCCTTCAGTGAAGGTAATGTCAGTACAGCCGTTTCATAGATTACCCGGAATAAATGCGGCTTACAGACAGAATATTTTAAATGCGAATTTAGTATCAGCAACACAAATACATATTACAGACACTCCAACTTTATTATAAGTATAGGTAGAATTAAACAAATCTGCATATATGTATATAACAAGCTCAATTCATCATTATTTGGCATTGATTTCTTAACAGAATTAATTAAAACACACCATTAAATTGTTTAAACTATCGTGAGACATTACTTTAAGCAGAAATTAATTAACTCTCTCTTAAATTAATTAACTCCGGTGATGGCACCGACTAGTTTCGGACTCTTCCAGGATCCTTCTTTAGGGCGAGTATTATTTAACTTTTGTTCGCGGTCACGTCGCGCCTCGTTCGCGGAGGGTCCGAAACTAGTCGGTGCCGTCACCGGAGAATAAAAGCGTGAGTTGAGCCGTTCTTAATTAATTTTCAATTAAAACACACCATATTCATAATTGATACTGAAAAATATTTAAATTGGGTAGATTACCCAAAATTTTGTAAATCTGCAATCTAATTGATGGTTGTAACTGAACATTTGAATAGTTCCATTAAAATTGTGTGTGTTGGCAAAACTTAAACTGTCAGAAAAGTGTGCATTGGGCATTGAAAGAAAACCTTAAAACAAAAGACTACTAAAGTAGTTGTCACATGTAACCTTCATCTGTATCTTTAATACTGAGATGTAGCTTTGTAAGTTAAAGTAGAAATGATGTGGTCATATCTCTGAACTTATTCCTTGGGATATGTACCTTAGGAAATTTAAAGTACAAAAACGCACAAATAACTTCATGTGAAAAGTATTAAAGTGGTACAAGCACATAAACGTACATAAAACTATTGTTGAATCATCATTTTGCGCATAAATTTCATTATAAATACCTACCTGTTGATTTAATACCTAGATAATATAGCAATAAATTTATCGCACCATTTCCGAACGTAAAACAATAATATAGTAACCTAGATCTCATTTCACATATTTCCAGGTTCATTACAATACAAATAAATAAGATAATGTGGCAGTCAACTAGGAATTGCTGATAAGACCTTAATACCTAAACAATTGACAGATTGGCGGATGTATAAAAATTGCCCGTAATGCACTCCTGTACTACATTCCGCAATAAATACAGCGATAATAACATTGTAAGCGTATAAGGGTCATTATTAATCTGACTACGAACATACAAAATAATTAAACAATGGTAATACCTCCGGATCCGTTTCCTTGTGGCAAATACTATAACAGCAACCCATGACTGCGGTCTTTAGAGAGCCGAAGCATGAATGCAGCAAAGTTTCCTCCCCGTCGGACTGCATAAATGTTTTTAAACTTTTTGCTGGTATAAATAGAAAAGTCGGGTAGGTAATACACAATGAACAATTTTCACGTTCCGTTCTGTGTATTACTTCACGGTTGTTCGGATTTTTTTCCTTGGAACAATGACAGAATGACAGCTGACATTCACATTACAGATACAAAATATCAAAGATTATGTGAAGACGTAACGGTCTAAGACGAATTTTATTGCGCAAATTATTCCCTTCTTCCTAGGTATCCTTTTTGATTAATGTGTTAATTATACCCCGTTATAGTTATTACAATTTATGCTAGAAAAAACAGTTAACGGCAAGCAATAGATTCATGTCAATTGGAATCTTGTTAAAATGAAAAGGATGTCAGATTTTATTTATTTTCTGTGATTCTAGCAAAACCATGTTTGCATGCTCTTTAACAAAAGTCAAATACACGTCAACCAACGTCAACAATATAATTTCAAGCTTACGTTTTTACAAAACGCCGATTTTTGTATTGTTTACATATAGTTAAAAGTGAAAATGATAAGGTACCGAGGAAAAAAGAAAGTTTTGGATAAAGTCAAGGAACTAGACGCGTTTCCAAAAGTTCCCGAGGAATATGTAGACAGCACGTCGGTTAGCGTGACTTTCTCTGTTATCACTTTTTTTATTGTTGCTTGGTTAATTTATAGCGAAGTTACGTATTACCTAGACAGTAATTTAGTGTTTAAATTTATGCCAGACATTGATATGGACGAGAAATTACATATAAATATTGATATTACAGTTGCTATGCCATGTTCCAACTTAGGAGCGGATATTTTGGACTCCACGTCACAAAGTGTCTTTGGCTTTGGTGAATTACAGGAAGAAGACACATGGTTTGAATTAACACAAGAACAACAGGACGCGTTCGACGCTGTTAAATATCTGAATTCCTATTTACGAGAAGAATACCATTCAATTTGGCAATTGCTTTGGAAGAAAGGCCACGGGTCTGTAAGAGCTACAGTACCGCCTAGAAAGAATCGTCCGAATCGACGACCAGATGCGTGTAGACTTCATGGAGTTTTGACATTAAATAAAGTAGCCGGAAACTTCCATATAACAGCAGGAAAGAGTTTACACTTACCAACAGGGCATATACATTTAAACATGTTATTTGATGATACTCCACAGAATTTCAGCCACAGAATACATAGATTAAGCTTCGGTAATCCAGCTAATGGGATAATATATCCATTGGAAGGCGATGAAAAAATTACAAATGAACAAAATATGCTCTATCAATATTTCGTAGAAGTGGTACCTACAGATGTGGAAATTACATTAGATTCTATAAAAACCTTTCAATATTCCGTCAAAGAATTGGAAAGACCAGTAAGTCATAGTAAAGGTTCACATGGAGTTCCAGGGATTTTCTTCAAATATGATATGGCAGCATTAAAAATAAAAGTATACCAAGAGAGAGAAAACCCACTGAAATTCATTTTACGACTTTACTCTGTTATCGGTGGTATTTATGTGTTAGGTAGTTTTATTAACACAGTTGTGTCTACAATAAGGACAGTTTATATTGATAAACCACACACAGTGTTGAGAAATGAGAATATTGAAAAGAAAAAATATGAAAATCCATTACTACTGTCTACAGATTTAGATGTTCCAGTTGATTTAATAAAACAATGACAATGTTAATAATTAGTTTTAAGTAAAATAATTTGAATTAACAACAAATTGATTTGTATTTATAATTTAATATTTGACTAGCTGTTGCTTGCGACTTCATCCACATGAAATTAAGAAATATAGCCTATGTTACTAGATAAATTCCCTTACTAACAGTGAAATAATTTTTATAATCAACCCAGTAGTTTTTGAGTTATTTCAATACATACAAAAATACAGATCTTTCCTGTATAATATTTGTATAGATATGTTATGGTCATGATTACATTTTTTATTATATTTTAAAGCCCTTGCAGACTAGACTGAAATATGCACATCATACATGCTTATACTGAACAAGCAACTAAGCTATAGGAGTATCATGTAGTGTGCTCTGACACATCTATGTTTAGCTAATTTTATATGTATACTAGCTGTTCCCGTGCGGCTTTACCTGCATGTAATTATGAAGATTTTATTTTATTGCTTACATTTGTCAAATTATCAATAGCAAATGTCAAAATGGAATGACATGACAAACCTTGGCAATTTTTCTTTCTTGATGTTGGCAGTAATGGTCTCCTCACATTAGGGTTTTTATCCAAAATATTTACATCCTAAGTTTAATGGCGTGAAAATATATAGTCTAAAGCATGACGTAAGTGTAGGGCTTTTTATTAAAGAATTATTCAAAAATATGCTGTAATCATCTTGGGCAACAAAGAAGTGTGTTTTTATGCTTTATTGTAATAGTATATATTGGTACAGTCAATATAATAGAGTATTCGTAGTTCTTTTTCTGTTTATATTAATTGTTGAATGTTATTTATATTAAGGGTAAAAAAAATCCACTATTTTTAAAAAAACATATGTATATGTTTGTAATGTGACAATAGATAAAGTATTATGGGATAACTTATTATATGGGTCATTCAAGGATTTTTTAATGTTTGGTTCTGTTGTATTAATCTTTCCGAACTTTTTACTGTACTTTATTTTTTATCTTTTCTGTTTCATACTTGACCAGTACAGTTGTACAGTATTGCTATATAATTGGACTGGCATCTAACTGTACTGGCCAATTGTGAGCCAAAATTATTTCTATTTATTAGTGTTTTGTAAAATTGATGTTTTAATATTGTTTTTTTAATCTAAAATGATACAAATGTGATATATTATCGAATATGAAGTATTTGTAAGAGAAAATGGTACTACATAATTGTACATAAAATGATTTAGTTTTAGTTCAATTAAATATGTTTGAAATGTAAATGTATTTAATTTCTTTTCAATATTTTAAGTCAACAATTATCCCAATGTTTCTTGCAATCGAATTTAATACATATATCCTATGCCAATGCCAAGAGAATTTCCATACTGCTACTATGTGCGGAATTGCAAATAATTCGTAAACCAGTTTAGACAACTTTGTGAAAGTAATTAAAAGTTTTAATATGTATGTCAGTTATCAAAATAAATAAAATCGACACAGGTGTTTTGTTTTAAATTTTGCACGAAGAGCGTTAAGAGGGCCAAAACACCATTGGTGAGCGGGCCTCCTCAGCTTTCTCTTTCACACTTGTAACTGAGCATATTTTCTGTCGCGCGCGCACGCTCCGTTTCTCAAAGTGTCGTTTTGTTCTCATCGCGGCCAACCCGATTCTTCCATTCCATTCGCGCGGCGGCGTCGCCCCTTAACGGATGTCGTGTGCCGGTCCACGTTCTGACATCCGAAAAGTTAGGGAAACTTTTGTCAGTCGACCTTTGAAGACAACAAAACTTTTGTCTCAAACAAATGTTGGTGCGGTGTTAAGTGATTAATATATGTGATTGTGTTGTGCGTATTTTTTGCGATAGCTATTCACCGTTTCAAATGAACGTTACTGTTTCGTTCAGCAAAAGCGCGTAGCACAGCGACGCACGAGGGCAGTGTATGGTTTATTCCTTGGGTTGCGTCCATCGGTGAAAGTAGACCTTTGTTGAGTTCAAAAGGACACAGGCCTTGCAACTAGCTTGATACAAGTCGTTTCGCGTGTAGTTGTAAGACGAGGTGAGTGGTATTTCAACTTAAACTTATTAACTTAAAACACGGCTATAGGTCATAAATGAAAAAAATTTTCTAAGACAACTTATTTCAGTATTATTAAAATAAATAAGTTAAAACGATTTTATATTTTGTAATAATCCTTTACTCGACGATTTTTTAAGACTTTCTCTTTATCGATTTCCCGCTCCCGTGCATCGATGTTCCCAAAATCGATGTTTCATTAACATGAATTTTATCAGCTGGATGTGGACGGTGCCATTCATGTTGTGGTTGGGCGACTTTGGGTCACTGCCCTATACCCTACCTGTTGACTGGTTCCTTGTTGAGCCGGTTCTCCCACAAACCAACTAAAATGTCAGGTTTTCGAACTGATATTAGCTAACGTATTGTTTGTTCTCCAATATGTTTTTAAAAAATAAAATGCATCAGCAACAACGTACGGTTTCTTGTATGTAAATTCGTGTTCAGTTATCCAACGAAGTGTACCGTTAGTTTTACTTGTTAAACGATGTTATCTTCCATTGTATGCATTTCTATTTACCACCGGCTGGTACGCAATAATGAAATAACGATATCTACGAATAATCTTATTAATTTTCGTATAATTTATAGTAACGGAACTTTGTGAAATAAAAATTTGAGTTGAAAACGCATTGTGTTTGATTTATGTGAAAAAAGTGTACTTCTGTTACAAATGCATATTCTAAAAACAGAAATTTAAGCAAATGGTACTTATAAAAAGCTTACAAACAAGTCTCTATGTTTGTTAATGCAAATGAACAAGGTTTCTTCTTGTTTGTCGTGACCCAAGGGATAGGGAATGTTAGTAACATCTGCCTTATGTGTATTTTATGAGATTTTTGTTATACTTCTTCAATAACAATTTTTTATTCGGATAAAAGAGAAGATAAGAAAAATACAAGCGACTTGAGTACCTCCCTAAAAGAGAAAATAAACGCAAATATCTTTTAAATAAATAACATCGCAAATTTTGAAAGAATTGTGCGCAATGAAATTTGAGGTCCACTTCTCAGGGTCGAAACATTTTATAAGCATACAATAGAAGTAAACGAAAGTGTACTGACCCTATGCTGAATAGGTCACAAGATTGAGTGTATACCTACTTGATCACAATGGTTGGTGCCTATGTATATCGTAGGTATGCCCTTAGTAATTCAATTTACTTAACACCCTATATACACTTAGAAACTCGTCCTAATTTAACAAAACAAGGGAAGGAAGAATTATTGTACTGCCAGCTTTAACATCTTAGCACGAATAGGCCGGCACGCCCGGTGTAATACCACGACCACACAGAAAACAGGCGTGAAATGGAAGCAATTCCGTGTTTCGTCTGATGAGTGTGGTGCCGGAGGCCTAATTTTAGTCCCTTTCTCTTTACCACCCTTTTCTTATAAGAGGATGGGAAGAGGAAGTCGATTTGACGGTGGAGGAGATGCATAGTACGGGAAAATATCCTCTTTATTGTGTCTCCTCCTCTGTCAAATAAGGGTAGGCAACGCATCTCGTTTGCCACCTTATGTTATTAAAAAAAAAGAAGTTGATGAGTGCTACAAGCAGTCTACGTAAGGTTTTAAAACGTAAAGAAATGTTGTATTTTTGAAACTAAACTATATCTTCGGTTTTACTACTATAGATACTAGGTGCTTACTCAAAGAGGATATCTCAAAGTGTAAATGGAAAAGATTTAGTACCGATAATTATATCTTACCTTTATATACACTTCGGGCTATTAACTAAGCGGATAAGTAAATTTAATTGATTCATTAAACACACTAATAAAATAAGTAATTTTAGAAATGACTCAGCCCTTGCGTACACAAATACGGGTGTGTTGAATGTTGACAGCGAACATAGACACAAAGCGCGGGAAGCATCGCGGCCGTTGTCTATGGCACGCCACAGGTTATTTAAGGAACAGGATGCGGGATGCGCTTCATGTTTTTTTTTAGTAATTCGATACACCATATCTATTCAGCCAGATCAATGTAGACCAGTTTATACCGTGATTTTTTTTAATGAAACTTTTTTAATTATACTTCTTGAAACAAGGTTTATTTTTTTACTTATTTTTAAAAGTTCCAGGAATTACTCTTGTATTTCTAAGATAACGGTAGTTAAAATGCCTTCCTTACATTGCAGGTAATGACGTTAAGTGAGTCAATTAGAATTCCTGGTGAAGAATTTATCTTTAAAACATACTTAGTAACACTTAGTATAATTTACTGGACTACTTAGTTGATAAGGATACTAATTAGGTTACCTTTAAATGTTAAGGATTATTCCTAAAACTACAAAAAGGCATTGTGTAACGCTAATGGACAAAATAAACGGAACACATTTTCACGAGATGGTGGTTTTAGTTCTTCTGAATTTAATTCTGTTTGATAATTGCCTTCTTTTTTTTATAATATAAGGTGGCAAACAAGCAAGCGGCCACCTGAAAATCCGCAATTGGAGATGCATTGCCTACCCTTAATTGACGGTGGAGGAGACGCACATAAAAAGGATATTTCCCCTTCCTATGCGTCTCCTCCACCATAAAATCCACCTTTCCTTCCTATCCTTCCCTCTTAATAAAAGGGTGGAAAGGGAAAGGGACTAAAATTAGGCCTCCGGCATCACACTCATCAGACGAAACGCGGTGTTGCTTCCACTTCACGCTTCTCACCTCGGTCATAGACAATATGTGTTTATCAATTGTATTAATAAATACACAAGTCACGCAATGTTCGTGTATAAAATGAGTCGATTAGTTTAAACGAAAGTGCCATTCGGTAATTGCGTAATAACTGACGCGTATCATCAATTATTGGACAATGAATTTGAGTTTTAACGTAGGTCAAAGCATTTCGTTGAATTTGTATATTGTTTTCGTGATTGACCTAAGTAGCGATATGATTATCTTTTATATTATACTAGCTGTTGCCCGCGACTTCATCCGCGTGGTATTAGAAAACATACGAACTATATAAACAACAAAAAGCTACGTATCCCTCGGGAACCGGCTACCTCGGGGATGAAGCTTATCCCATGTATACTCCAGACTTTGTTTTACATCTATACCAAATTTCAATAAGAAATGTTGAAACGTTGCAGAATGGTCGAGTAAACATTAAAAAACTAAATTAATGAATCCCACGGGAACCGTAACTATTCCAGGGATAAAAAGTAGCCTATGTGTTCTTCCAGACTATGGTCTAAACCTGTGCCAAATTTCATGGAGATCCGTTCAGCCGTGTAGGCTACAAACGCTAACAAACATCCATCCATCCATCTAAACTCTCGCATTTATGATATTAGTAAGAAGTAAGATTGATGTGTATTCATGAATAAAATGTTTGTAAACAATGTGAGATACATTTTAAAAGTACTAAGATAATTATATAAGGTTAATGTAAAGAAATTGTCATTCTATGTCATAGATTGGCAACATTTTTGCTGAAAATCTAACGGGTTATTTAAATTACATCAAGTTCTTCTGGAATATATACCAAAGGAATTCAAGTTCTAATTGCAACTATTTAACGTGTTTCTCGTTAAATCTATAAATAAGCTACCATAATATTTCCTTAATAATTCATGAATGCGTTTTATTCATTGGAATTTAAAATAAACAAACGTCGGATTTGATTTACGATAATAATAGTGCGCCCGAATCTCGAACGGGGCGGAGGAAATGAAATTCGAGTTTGTACTAGATTTAAAAATACCTCAGTAGCAAAAGGATTGCGTCAAAATATTGTGAAACAATAGCAATTATTGCGATAATATAAAAACCGAATTTAGCATTTTTACCCAAATAATAGGCAACCCATTTCGAATTGTCTTTTTTTAGACAAGTCGCATCTCGCACCTTTGCCAACTTATCATAAAAAAAATAGTTTTATTTCTATGTTGGCAGTTGTCTGCATCAATGTATGTAGAACTCGATTACTCATGGACTCTTCCCGCAACCTTGCACATTACAAGATATGTTTCCACACAGTTATATATTCAAAGAATAGTGTACTTAGTTAAGAGATTACCACATATGTTTGCATTCCATTGTAGTGACGTGCTACGCAACGAGTAAAGTGTCCATTGTTCTCTGTTACCGTCTGTGTAGTCTAGTCTGTGACAATTTACTACATATGGGTATACTGATAGTTACCGTTCTCTTATTAGCTTTTGTCCGCGAGTTCGCGCGGAATTATAATAAGAAATCTTAGTAAGTTGCCTATGTGTTCTTCCAGACTATGTTCTATATATGTGCCAAAACATCGACATCTGTTAGGCTGTTATAGATAGATACGTAGTAATTAACATCTAAAATGATATGAATCGGTGCGTTGAAGTTATGAGAAAGATTTTAGTATGCGAAATTATGAGTCAAACTTCCTATAAATACTAACTTGTTTAACGACATTGGTTAAATTAAAGGTTTAAAATCGTTTTTATTAGGTTTTAACTCCAATTGGTTGTGTATTGCGCGTGCGCAGAACAATACCCTTCCCCTGTCGATCACAATGGCCTTTTGTCCCACGTCGCATCTGTCCTGTACACGGCTGGGGCACTGTATGGGAAATGAGATACTTATGCAACACTTGGTAGACAACTATTGTATATAAAACTTAGTACTTAACTTAATTAGTACCTAGAAATATCTAAAGAGGTGAATCTGACATCGTTTTCCAGAGGAATATCCATTCTCAAACTTCATTTTAAAGAGAGCATACCAGCGAAAGAGACCTCCTTATCCACGCCCATGGACATTCGCAACACCAAAAAAACTGTAGATGCGTTTACTTTTTAAATGCGTCTTCATGTGGTTTTACAACCTTGAATTGTAGGCTTTTTTCCGTGTAAATAGTTTCGAATGGTATCACAGAAGGCCGATACGTATCATTGTAACATCACGCACACCTTTGACCAAAAGATCGGACAACTGTTTAGTCTCGTTTTGATTCCTGTGAGCTGTATGTAGATGCACACTACTCGAT